TGGCCGGCCAGGCTGGGCGAGCTGGGCGAGCGGCGAGGGGCGTTGGTCGCTGCCTGCCGGGCCGTGACCGTCACTCCAAGGCAGACCTGGCGCGCTGCTGCACTGCTGCATGCTAGCGACGCACAGTGGGCCAGAAGACCGGTGGAGCTCTGGATCTCAAAACGCGTCTAGAGTTTTGTCCGCCTCCACCGGTTTTCTGGCCCACTGTGCGACGCCACCGTCGACGAGGTGGGAGTCCGGCCGCTGCAGCCGCCGTGGCGGCGAGGTTCGGGCGGACCACGCGATGCCTCGTCAGCGTGCCTTTAACGACGCCGTCGTTGGGGATTGAAATCCGCCACATAATACGTCGCCGTTTGAGCGTCGTGTGGCGAATGCCGGTGCAGCACCCACTCACCGTAACTGGCAGGGCCCCGCCGTGCCGTGCCGCCGCGCACCGAGACAATGGGACGCTGGCCCCCGCTCGGCCCGGCCCGGCTGCGCTGTGTGAGCAAATGTGCTGTGCCGCGACGCTGCTCTAGGTTTTTACCCTATCCCGCGCTGAACGGGGCAGTACCCGGCAGGACCGCCATGATGGCCGTTTCCTTAGCGTTTCTCTTACAGTGTCACCGACAGGGCGTTGTGTCGGCACGACGCGGGGCTACTGTTGTGGCAGTGGGCTCTCATACTCCACAGAGGAAGGCGAAAATGAAGTCTTTTTGCTCGGGGCATTTGTTCCTGAACGCCGGAGAAAAATGAGTGCTGCCACACGGCCAGCACTGCGACAGTGATTGTTGAGGCTAAACGAGGCAACGTCTCCCCAGCCACATGACTTGACGCACTGGTTCTTTTCTAGTGTCCCTGCATGCAGTCCACAGTGTGCACCGCGCCCTCCCAATTGGTTGCTTGCGCTTGGTGATTGCAATTGATGGAGGAAGCGGCTGTGCGTGTGTGTCTCTCAGTGTGGAGGAGAGGGGGGGGGGTCTTGGAGTGAGGAGGGACGTCACGCAAAGGATGCGGCGAAGCTAGCAGGCTGCGCGGAGCCCCCAGTCATGCACTGGTTCCACGCGTTCCGCGCGCCGTTTACAAAAACAACAGCGGGGTGCGCTCTTTCGCTTTCCTTGCGCGCACCGCGTTGGCGTTGCACACACTCGCGCGCACGACGTACCCGCCCAAAAGAACTGCGTGCGTTGGCGACATGCACTTTAAGTGGAATTGGGCGCGCTGGCACCGTCGGCACGTTTTGCACCGCGCTGCCGGCCCGGCCGCGCCGCGGACCGCCATACTTACTTATTTGAGTTGGCGCGCATCAAGTATGCATCTCGGCTTTCACTCCGCATGGAAATGATGGAAATGGAGCCGTCCATCTATCTAATTGAATGCATCTGGCGTGGTGCTAAGTGCCGCGGATAGCGCGGTCGGCTGTCTTTGCATATCCTTGGCTTCTCCTTCGCCGCCCGTCGGTCCGTCCGCCTCAAGGTCTGCCTCGCTCCCTTCGAGCGACGCGGTCTCGGACGCGGTGGCTGCGGACCGCGGACTTGGGATTCTCGGCAGGGCAGCGCGCTGCACACCTTTCTACAGCGGCAGAAAGAAAACCGGGCCTGTTGTTTTGTTTCCGGTCGGGGCGGTTTGGCGGCGGGCTTTGGCCGTGCTTTCGTCGGGCTTTAGCGCCCAATAAGTTAACGACCTTCGCTTCGCTTCGCTCCAAACGTCCTGCCGGTCTGGCCGGGGGCCGGGCCCGCCGGGCCGCGCTGCTGCGGCACTGCTAATGGCCGTCTGGGATGACAGTGCTTGCCTTGCTTGCCCTTGGCCGCGCCGGCTCGGCTCCTTGCCGGTCCTTGCACCCTGGCCCGGCATCGCCCTCGTCCTCCTGGGCGCCGTTTTTCTCCGAGTTCTGGTCGTCGTCCTGGTCGTCGTCCTGGTCGTCGTCCTGGTCGTCGTCCTGGTCGTCGTCCTGGTCGTCGTCCTGGTCGTCGTCCAGGTCTCGGTCCTGGTCGTCGTCCTGGTCGTCGTCCTGGTCGTCGTCCAGGTCGTCGTCCAGGTCGTCGTCCAGGTCGTCGTCCAGGTCGTCGTCCAGGTCGTCGCCCTGCCCCTCGCCCCGCCCCGCGCCCGGCCATTATGATAATGGGACTGGACTGGGCCAGGAGCCGCGCGCGATCGGCTTCTCGCGATGTCCTTGCCTGCTTTCGTCGCGTCCTTTTCTCCCTCGTCATTTGCGGACGCAGAGACGGCGTCACTTTCTTTCTGGCCCCGGTCGGCCGCCCCGCGCCCTAGCTGCCCTGCCGTGCCCCGCCGTGCCCCGCCCGGACGCACACGTGCAAGCACACGTGCTGCTGCTACCGGTGTGGCGGCTGGCGGCGCCGCGGTGGCCGAAACGGCGCGCTGCTCGCCAAGATGACTGACTGCCCGGCCGGATGAATGCCGGCCAATGAGGCAGTGAATGGCGCCGCGACGACCGACGCGGCCCGCGATGTGCGCTGCGCGTTTTCTCTGCGGGGGCGGCGAGGCGGCGGGGCGACTTGATTGCCCGTCATGCCGACGCGCTGCTTGTCCGCCCCGCTGCACTGCAACGCCTTGACGGGCTAAAGACCGTCTGGTCTGTCTGGCAGGGCCCAGCGCGTCCGCCTGACCGCGGTGGGGGAGGGGGGGGGGAGAGGGGGGACACGCGCCGACCAACTGATGCACATCGGGCCGCGTCGCCGCGTCGGGCTGCCTGCGGTCGCTGTTTGGGCCGGGGCAGCCCGGCGCGGTTCGCCAGGCAATGGCGCTGCTGCTGTTTGCTCGGCCGCTTGTTTCGCGTCCCTCTGCTCGCGGCCCCGCGGCCCTGGCGATATGGCGATAACAACCGCCAACACGAGCGCCGCCCGCCGCGGTACCGCCCCGTCAATGGCCAGTCTTGGCGCGTTTTGCCGTGAGAAATCCGGCCGTCGCTGCCGCGGTTCGTCCTGTTGTGTTGTCCCCGCCCCCGCCCCCTCCCCCTCGCGGTCCACGTCCGCGGCGTCCTCGTCCTCTGCCGGCCGGCGTCGTCACGCCGCCACCTGTCGCGAGGAGAAACTTCGCCGGAGCATCGGTCGCTAATGATTTGTGCCGCGCCGCAGGCTGATGCCGAAACGGTGCTTTCGTCACTCTGTCTCTCTCGCACCCCGACGGGACTTCCCTCGAGTGCGAGAGAGACGGGACGACGAGGCGCTGGTTTTGGAATAAGGGTGCATGGCGGCTGCTGTCCCCGTGACCTGGCCTCGCTCCGCGACGGGCGACTCTGCATTTGCCAGGCTATCTCGAAGGCTTGCAACGCCAATCGCCATCGAGTGCGGCACAGGCGGGCACCCTGTCTGGCGGCCCGATAATCCGGAGCGGTGCGCGCTGCCGGTGGTGGCCAAGTAGTGACCAGCCTTGTACTCCTTCGGCCCGCTGCCCGCGCTGCCCGTCGCCCGCTGCGTTGCCCAACTCGTGCGTAATTTGCGGCCAGTGCCGGGCCAGTGCTGGCTCCAGCCGCACTCAGCGAGGCGGCCGTCAAGTTGAAAACGCACTCGAACCATCTCGGTGTCGACATCTGAGGTAGTAAACACAAAGTGGCACTACTAAATTTTTTTTCGTGCTCAAGACAGAATTAACTTCTTTTTTCGCGCCCGTCATGAGAAACCCCGGGAAGCGGTTCTCCCGGCCGGGCTGGGCGAACGCGAGGCGACAAAGTGGTTGGCGCGGATTTTCTTTCTGGACGCACAGTAATCCTGCCTCGGTGCGTCCGTGGACACGCGGCGTGCGGCGTGGCGTGGCGTGGCGTCCGCGTCAAGCGAAAGCTCGGCGTCAGGATTACGGGCTCTTCCCTTCATGAAGAGAGCGAGCTGCGAGTGGACGGGAAACCGAAGCGGAGCGGAGCACGTTTCCGAGGTGCGATCGGCGGGCGGCAATGGCATCCTGAAGGGCGAGGCAGGGCGAGGCAGTGAGGCAAAGGCATCGCATGCCGCGCTGCATCTCGCGCAGCGCGCAGCGGCAGGGGAACAAAAAGTGATTTTAATTGTGACATTGGGGCTGGAATGTTGCGTCACTTTGTGAGGTCCGTGACTGACGGGCAGGCGGGGCTGGCGGGGCTGGCAGCTCAAGGCGGCCTCGCTGCTGCTGCATCATTCACTCCCTTTGCCGCGTGGGCGAGGCGGGGCGGGGCGGGGCAGAGCAATGGTCCGGCTGCTTGTATCGCCTCCGCCTCGTGGCTCCGGCTCACTGAAGGAGCCGGCGCGTGGCGCGTGCTCCTCGGTCCACGCCGGCCGGTCCACGAGTGCCGAGGGCCGCCGAGGGCCGCCCTGCGCGCGTGTGCGTGAGTCCAGTCGCCGCTCGGTGGTGCGCTCGCGTGTGGCTCTCCACGGCGTTGCTTTCCCATTGGGGCCCCTCGGCCGGCGCGTGGCCCTTGGCCCTAGCCTTGGCCTGGTCCTGCCGGGCCCTGCGCCCGCGGCGCAGCCTCCGGGACCTCCGGGGTCACGGCCGAGGCGAGAGCTGGCTGGGCGCTGGGCAGATTGCCGGCGGTACTTCCCTGCGCTGCGCCGCGGCGTTGCGTGGCGTGGCGTGTGCGGGCGGCGGCGTGGGCCGTGGGGTCGTTTGCCGCGGGCACTGGCTGCGTGCGGCGTGCGCTGACCGGGAGTGATTTGGGCGTCGTCTTCGTCTTCCCTTTCCATCCGCGTGGCCTTGCGGCTCGAAAGTGAAAGGCAGAGTGCCGATGACGGCCGAAGGACCCGTCCCATCCCATCCCGTCCGCCTGATCCGCCCTGCCCGCTGCGCCCGCCCTGCCCGCCTGGCCGGCCGGCCTGCCCTCCGCGTGCAGCTAGCCAGCTAGCCGGCCCATGATCGCAGTCAAATCAGCCACTTTTCGGTACTGTCCCGGCACCATCTGACATTGCCAGCCCCCTCCCTACTTCCGGTCACGCACTTCCATGAACGCGGCGTTTTAGTCCTCCCGACTCATGAGTGCATGATGCAAGTTCACGCTAATGGCAACTTACTCACGGAACACTTGCTTCTTGTTGTTGCAGAGGGCCGCGTGGAGGTGTCTCGCGATGGCAAGTACTTGTCGACGATGGCCCCGGGCAAGCTGTTCGGCGAGCTGGCTATTCTTTACAACTGCAAGAGGACGGCCACCATCAAAGGTAAGCGCGACAACGATTCCTAATGAGAAGCTCCTACTAAAAAAGTAGCATGTAGGCAAATAACGAAAATTTTCTAATTTTTTTTTTCAGCCGCAAACGACTGCAAGCTGTGGGCCATTGAACGACAATGTTTCCAGACCATTATGATGCGTACTGGTCTTACCCGCCAGGCGGAGTATATAGACTTCCTCAAAAGGTACCTTAATGGCCACTTCTAAAACTTTATATTTACTGCTGCTTGAAAACACACTTTTGGTGGCAGAGGCAGATGATTTAAAGAAATTATTGAATCTTGTTTCAGTGTTCCTATCTTCAAGAATTTACCAGAGGAGACACTTATCAAGATTTCAGACTCTTTAGATGAGGTGAGTTGAAATGGTCGGCTCGGCTCACTGTTTTTACTGTGTGTTCCAATAAAGAGTTAACTACAATTCTTTGTCTTCAGACCTACTACAATGCTGGAGATTACATCATTCGTCAGGGTGCCCGTGGAGATACATTTTTCATCATCAGCAAAGGCCGCGTAAGTACAAAACAAATTCTTAGTTCTGGAAAAATTTTGAATGATGTGCCTTATTATTATTATTATTATTTTAATTCCTCTATAGGTGAAAGTGACCATCAAGCAGCCTACAGGGACAGATGATAAATATATTCGCTCTCTCTCAAAGGGTGACTTTTTTGGAGAGAAAGCTCTGCAAGGGTACGTGTTCTATTCACCATATTTCTTTTGTTCATTTAATGTGTTTGCAAATTGTAGAACCGAAATTTTACAAACAATGTTGTTTTTGCCATTTCTCAGGGATGACCTTCGAACAGCAAATATAATTGCTGATGATCCTGATGGTGTGTGTTGTTTGGTGATCGACCGTGAAACTTTCAACCAGCTCATCTCAAGCCTTGATGAAATAAGAACTCGATACAGGGATGAAAATGTTGAGAGAAGAAGGTAAGCATTATTAATGCTTCTCTAAAATATTCTGAATAAATGCACAGAATGCTTTTGTTCAAAACAATACAAGGTGTTGGTAAATAAATTTCTTATTTTATTGTTGCTTGCTAAGGATTATCTGAAGGTAAGGGTGGTAGCTGGACTTACAAGAATTTCACTTTGATTATAGCAGGGTTTTGAAAGAGACTAAGCAAATTTATTCCCTCTTTTGATATCTAAATTTATGATTTTCTATTCCAGAATAAATGAAGAGTTTGAGGTGGTTCGCCTTACCGATCTTCGAGTGCTGGCTACCCTTGGAGTTGGAGGTTTCGGACGTGTTGAGCTTGTTCAAATTCAAGGAGATGCTAATCGTTCCTTTGCTCTCAAGCAAATGAAGAAAAGCCAGGTAAACAGAGAAAGCCAGATGGACCTTGATTCACATTTCAATTTAAAAGCTGTGATCATGAATTATTTGTCTTGTATTTGTAAAAAAAATTCCTGTTACAGATTGTAGAAACAAGGCAGCAACAACACATCATGTCAGAAAAAGAAATCATGGGTGAAGCTGACTGCCCATTCATAGTCAAATTATTTAAGACATTCAAGGACCGTAAATACCTGTACATGCTGATGGAATCCTGTTTGGGAGGTGAACTGTGGACCATTCTCCGTGACAAGGGCCACTTTGATGACTCTACGACCAGGTTTTACACTGCTTGTGTTGTGGAAGCATTTGATTATTTGCACTCAAGAAACATCATATACAGAGATCTGAAGCCTGAAAACCTTCTACTCGATGAAACAGGATATGTCAAATTAGTAGACTTTGGATTTGCTAAGAGGCTTCAGGTAAGGCAATCTTCAAATTCAAATTTGATATTGTAAATTCTTTCCTAACTATCTCTAAGTGTCTTTTATGTTTAATTTTGCAGCATGGCCGCAAGACATGGACATTTTGTGGCACACCTGAGTATGTTGCGCCTGAGGTTATTCTGAATCGTGGTCATGACATCAGTGCTGACTATTGGTCCCTTGGTGTTCTTATGTTTGAGTTGTTGACTGGTATGTTGACCTGAGTTTCAAATGTTGCGGAGAATTTTGTGTACTTCAATTTCATTGTCTCGCTTTCCTATGTCAGGCACACCACCTTTCACGGGAGCTGATCCAATGAAGACATACAACATAATTTTGAAAGGAATTGATGCTATTGATTTTCCAAGGAATATTACCAGGAATGCCACTGCTTTGATCAAGAAGCTTTGCAGGTACGTCCAATTTCTAGTTAACCAATCAACTTAATTATGTGTTCTGTCACATTAAACGTTGCTCTTTTCTTTTTTCTGTCAGGGACAACCCTGCAGAACGTCTTGGCTATCAAAAAGGTGGCATCAGTGAAATCCAGAAACACAAGTAAGCATTTTGTTTGAATGATATTTCTGTGAGTGTTCATTGAGTTGTCTTGTGAGACTAAAGTATTTTTCTTCAGGTGGTTTGATGGCTTCAATTGGGAAGGCTTACGTAACCATACACTGAGCCCTCCAATCACACCTAATGTCCGCAGCGTGACAGACACCAGTAATTTCGATGAGTACCCTGCAGATGCTGATCAACCTCCCCCAGATGATATCTCTGGCTGGGATTCAGAATTTTGAATGACATCAAAGGTAATGCAAATAGAGATTGCAAGGAGATGTTCTCCAAGCGACAAATTCAATGTCTTAAGTAATTTTATTGATGATTTAAAATATTTTTTCCAGGTATATGATGCATTTTAGCAGTGGCATTTTTTGATCCCTTGCTGGAATGTAGCATCTATGATTTCAACAATAAGAGGAGAATCATGAAATGCAGGTAGTTTGGTATGTGTTCATTGTGTTTTTACCAGTCTCTGTAATTCATTGTGGCAGGTGTTTGCATTTTATTCTATCAATTCATCGCTGAAAATACTAAATGTAATAAACAAATTGTGAATGACTGATTTTGTACTGCTAGGCTTGATGTCACACCATACTTTGTTACTGCCAATGCAATAGATTTTGTTTATAACTTTCATGCAGTACAGTTCCATCAGATGCTTTTCTATGATGTCAATTTTTATTGTTCCTCCTGGAACAAGACCTTTCACTTGTACGGGCATGCAGTGCATTCATTACTTCTGAAATTCCTTAAGGTTTTTATTTGCCACAAGAGACCTGAGAAAGATCCCTTTTTTGCTTCTGAATGTTTGCCCAATTGCTTTGGTACTTATACAGCCATGTAAGTTTTCTTTTTTTGTTGTTTTTTTTTAAATTAATTTGAGAGAGAAGTGATTTTGTTGCTTTCTGGCATTTTTCAAATTCTAATAATTGTTAGTTCTATCAGAATGTGTTTAGTACTGTTTGTGATCCTGAAATTGTTGTTGTGATGTTTGTATCCATTATCAGATTGTCTGTGTGCAGCAATTTTTTTTTCCCGATAATTTTTATTTGTTATACATGTGCTTTTTTGGTGCGGTCTTTTAATGTTGAGAAAATTTTAAAGTTTGCTTTCCAGGCACCTCTTGTTATCCTTTGAGATTTTGCATCAAAAATCCTTTAGCTGTTGGAAAGGCTGAAGCAGATTATCAATGAATTTATTATTAAGATTTATAGGAACAAAAGACCCACTTAATTTTTCTTAATCTAGTCTGTGAGATCCTAATCAATATGCCGTTGTAGAATTCTATTTGATATTTTTTATTATTTAAATAACTCTTGTCAAATGTGTAGGTAGCCCAGTTTTGACTTGAGCTTATGTGTGTGTTAAAAATAAAGTGAGATCTTGGCCTCATCTCCATGCATTGTAATATATGTCATGTACCATCATCTAAAAAAAATATTTGTGGGCTCTTTATGCAAGAAAACACTGGTAGTTCTTCTTTGCAAAGGTTTGATCATGATCAACAATTGGCTCATATCATAGATTGTGTTGGTTGTACTATTCCATAGCACAACTACAACCAATAGAAACTCACAACTTAAAATTTTGTCTTTACATTTTCTGTTTAATTTAAATTGTGCTCCTTATGTATTGCCCTCATGTTCAACATGAAAGTAAAGTAAATTGTAATCAAATCAAATGTTAAAGAATTGTTGCATATTGTGTATATTAAGTTGCTCTTGCACTGTGATGCTTCTCTTAAGTTATCAATCTCATTGTTGAGTGCATAAACATTGTTGTGCTAGATATTATGCTGCAGTGCCATCTTCAGTAGTACACCTTCCTTAAACGTGATACTACTCACCTCAGGAGGTGAGGGCTTGAGAATTATGTGCAACCTAGAGTCTTTTAACTTGTAAGTACAATTGTATGGAGTGCAAGGATTTTTACTTATAGCATTGTTTATCGTTTTAAATTAAATTTGTAATTGCGATATTCTTGCCATATGAGAGAGCTTCTGATTAGTTGTATATTACCTAATGTCAAGTCAGAATATTTTTTTTAAAAGAGTTTGTTACTATTTTGTACGTGTCTGTACAGTTTTATTTTATGTAAAATACCTTCCGTTTTATGCTATTGTAGGTAATTGTTGAGGTGTTGTTGCTAGGATGTCATAAAAACAGGTGCGTTGCCTGATAGAGTGATAGATAATGTAATAGTGGATTGTGGTCAATGAATGTGTAAATGTTTCTTATTACTGAAGCCTCTTAAAATTTAAAAGCTGGCAAGATTGAGGAAGCCAGTGCTGGACCACTTGAGCTGCCTTTAAAAAGTTTTGTGTTACTGGTTTCTGTTCTGAAGTTAGAAACACTGGTTAAAAGCTGTACTGTGTTATTGACTTCTTTGTTAACTGATGCACTCTGTTCTATGGTAATAAACCTGAAGTCCTAAAACTTGATTTGATGTTATTTATGCGGGTCATCAAACAAAGAGTTCTGTCGCAATTGATGAGACGTCTCGTGTATCCTGCCTTGACACACTAATTAGACTACAATTTGCATGGTATTATAATAAGAAGTGAAGTTTTACATTCAAATATTTTCAGTGCTGCTCACTATGATGATTTAATGGTACAAAAATTATCTTCACTCTTAACACAGAAGAAGTAATCATAAGCCACTAAATAACCACTGCTGTAAGAATGTGAATATCAGAGAAGATAACTAAAATGCCCCCAGAACGGAGGACCCAATTTGCAGCTCAAAATTTTTTCAGAATCAACTTTTGATGACATTTTCTTTATACATTGGTAACAAAATCTCAATTCTGGGCAAGTTCCAAGCACACCTTTTTTTATTTCCTTACCCCTTCAAAAGAAAAACTTGAGACACAAAATCCGTTCTGAGGGACCTTACAATTACAACTACATTATTGAATTTAGTAATGGAACTAATTATCACACATGTAAAGCATCTCATGTTCTAAAATATCGAATGGTGCTATTTTTCATGAAGTCAAGTCAGATCCATCCATGCAGTGACTTGACTCACATGAAAGTGCTCTACTCATACTACCCAACATTAAGGGTGAAAAGAATAAGCGACAGTTTTGTACCTACGCGGGTCTGCTCAATTCTGACATGAGGCAAAAATTACAATTTTCCATTTTTCACGTGTAAAAAGAAGCTGAGAGCCAGGGGGACGAATCTGCTCGGAGCGACCATCGACAGCAGTTTAGGCCTGCGCGTGCTCTTGGCTCGCCTGGTCCTGCTGGTCCGGCTTGCCCTGGGTGCCCACCGACTCGGCGGCCTCGTCGGCGGAGCGCGCGGCGCGGACCCCGCGAGACTGGGGGTGCGCGGGCTGCCGCTGCGGGGGTGGGGGCACACCTGCGGGGGCGTGGACGTCCATTGCTCCGAGAGGCAGAAGTCGGCGGCCGAGGCGCGGAGAAAACCTGGGACACCACCACAAGCTCATGAGAGCATCGAGGACCTTGGTCACACTAAACTGCACTCACCACAGAGGGTCCGTGTCGGTTCGCAGCTGGCGGGCCGTCGCCCCGGACGCGTCCCCGGACTCGGCGTCCAGGCGAAACAGGCCCGCGCCCCCGTCGTCGCCCTGCTCGCCGCTGCCTCGGCCCAGGCGTGGCGTGAAGTTGACCAGGTTGCCTTCGGAGCGGGGGCGCTGCTGCTGCTCCGGCGCTGTCGACACGAGACGGGGGCGGTAGGATGGGATGGACAGACTTACCCGCGCCGCACTCGAAGCGCGAAGGCGAATAGGCAAGGCACTGGACGGACTGGACTTACCGAAAGCGGCCGAGTTACTGGTGATGCTCGCCAGAAGGCAGTTGATGTCCGTCTGGTCACAGGGCGACGGGGACCTCTTCGGCCCCTGCAGCTCCTTGAGGAGCTCGGCCAGCTTCCAGGGGATGTCGTTGTCCACGTCGCCGTCCTGGAGGGACCGCTTCCGGCGGTGCGCCGTGGCGGGCGCGCCTGGTGCGGAGCGCCGCCGGCGACCCAGCCGCGGGCCGAACCACATGCCCGCCCCACCGGGCTGCAGCACCTGCGTCACCAAGTCGCGCGTCAGCCCCTGGGGGCGACGCCTTACAGTGTCACAGCATCCGTCGGGAACCACGGGGCCAGTCCGCCCTCACGCACCCCTCCTGAGTGGCCATGAACATGAACGTGAACAGAAGGGGAAGGTAACAAGAACAAGGACAGCGAGAGTAAAACCACAGGAACGTGCCGAAAGCAGGACGTGCCGTTGCCCAAGCGTGTGCGGCTTTGGATATTGTAGACTGTTGGAGAAGTTGCGAGGACATTGCCCTTCCGGGGTGCCGGTGGGAAAACACATTCGTTTTGAGGCCAATCAGCACGTATGGGGATCACTGGCGCGCAAACAATCAGTCGTCCAGAGAAAAAAAAAGAAAGAGAGAGAGAGGGGGGGGGGGGACAATTACGCGAACGGATGCAAACCGCTGGGATTATGAGATGATTGGATTTGCCTGGCATTGGAAGGTTCCTTGAATTAAATAACAACTCGTCCGTGGAAGTGGTCACGAAGGGGGAGGGGGGATTATTAATCCCTTCCAGTCTATATGATCCTGGATCCCGGTAGGGCTAAAGTGGCTTTCAATGACACAGGTGAAATGAGACACAGAGGGAAAAGTTTGGTCCGATGAATGCCGAGTCTCAGGACGCACGAAAGCCAGGACACTACGCCACGCCGTACGACGGGAGCGGCCAACACGGGCCAGCAGCTCGCCTGCGTCCTGCGCGTCCCGCGGTCCCAAACGCGGCGTGGCGTAATGGACCATCCGCCCTTCGAGTAAGCACAGCGGCGGCACTAAAAGTCCCTCGCTGCCGTCCTTGCGAGACGAGACACCCCTTCGTCCCGCACGCCCCTTGGGGGGGCCCCTTGGCCCTTGGCGCGCGCCGTGGGCGGCTCGGCGTTTGATTTAGGCGGGAAGGAGGGGCCGGGGCGCGGAGCTTGCCTTGGAGCGACGGGATTTAGACTAACGGCGTACGGTCGACGTGAGGAGACTGGCGGGACGGCAGGGAAGTCCGTGTGTAGCAGTGTCACAGCACCACGCAGCGCCACGCAGCGCCACGCAGCGCCACGCCACGACGGGGACTCTGGGAGGTCATGCAACACTCGACCCGTGCTACTCGGTCACTCAGTATCGCGCGCGTTGGAAAAGAGTCTCTCTCAAGGGGCCAACTTTTGAGCACAAGTCGCAGAGAATGAAGATGGAGCTCCCCGATCGTCTTGGCGGCAACAGTCCCCCGCCGGGATGCCCAGAGGTCGATGCCTACTCCGGCCCAATCCCAATCCCCAGCAGGCCTACCTTGTCGGGCTGGTCCTGGCTGCGCTTGCCCTTCCCCTGGAAGAGGTTGAGCAGCTGGTCCAGCTCCATGAGGGCCACGTCGTCCACCACGGGCGGCCCCGCCACCGGGCTGAGGCCCTGCTCCGTCTCCAGCAGCACGACCGGCCGCAGCACTGCCGGGCCTGCCGGGCCCGCGGTCCTTCCCCGCGACCCGTGTGAACCTGCAAGCGCGCCAAATACGTCAGCTCCTCCCCCGGCGAACCAGCCGGTACAGCAAACATTTCAGCCTCGTCTCTATCGCTCGCGGGGACAGTTAGCTGTTGGTGACGATTACTGGCCACCGAGAATGCGCGGTCGCCACAACGAGCACGGGGCCCAGGACCTTACCCTGGCAGACGGTGAAGACAGTCAGGATGAAGGCGAGGCAGCTCCAGCTCCTTAAGGTTGCCGCCATGGTGCCGCGGAGGCGTGGACGGGCGTGGAGGGCGGCTCGCAAGCAGACACTGGAGGGGCGTTCAGGCGACGGCGGCCCTTTTATGCGTTCCGTCGGGCCGTCGGGAAGCCCCCGGACCGGAGCCGCGGCCGCCTCTGCCGCCCCTACCAGCGCGGGGTGGCCGCCATCCCCCTCCCTCTGCGTCGCCGTGGCGCGCCGTGGCGCTTGCCCCCACGCCCCTACCAATAACCCTTGCGGCAGGACAGGGGTCCACAGGGAATCACAGCAAACTCGAAACTCATCCTTGGGCAATCAAACAACAGAGGCGGGGCCGCGGGGCCAGTGGCCTTGCACGAACACGAACACTGTCCGCGCGTTCCTCTGGTTTCTGGTACCCGACGCCGGACGCACATGCAGCTGGAGCCGGAAGCCGCCGCGGGGGGGAGTACAGGCAACACGCGGTGCACGGCGAGCCTGCAGCACACGCCGCGGAGAACGGAACAGTAACAGTACTCCCCGCCTGTCTAGACCACGTTGCAGTCACGCTGCCATTAGCACCGCTCCGCCTGCCTAGCTGAGATAGGCAACTCGATCACCTGTCATGCGTTACAGCATACTTTAAAGCCGCTGTTAAGGGGTGGAGAGTGTTTACCGACTGGTTCGGATTACGGGAGGAGGTATTGAGAACTCGATGAATTTGCTATGACTGCAACGCCGTTCCCCGACAGCGGTATGGTGCTGATTGAAAGCAGGTGTGAATGCGAGCGAAGCCGGAGGCGCCGGGAGTCGCTGCGAGGGCCAGTCTGGTCTGGTGCCTGGGCGGTCTGGGGATTGCAGCCGTCTCTCGGGCCAATCCCGCGTGTCCCTCTGCGATTCATCACCCGGCGGGGGACGAAGACCAAGACCAACCAAGACCCTCTCCCCCTCCCCCTCTTCGGGTCCTCGCGCGCCTCCCGGACCGGCCTGAGGTCACGCCCGCCGCCCTGCCGCACGGCAGCGTGCCGCGCGCCGCGCGCAGTCCGAGCACGCCGCGCCCCCGCACGCCCCTGCCCTGCACGCCCCCACACGCCCCCCGCGCGGCCACGCCACCTGCCGAGAGCCATCTCACGAAATTTTCCATGGCCATGGAGCTCGTGGATTGGTTTCAGGGTCACCAGCACACCCTGCTCTCATAATCCGCACTAAGGTCATATGGAAGATAGGTCTGCGCAACCGAGATGCATGCTGGGAGACCGGGCAGCTAATCCCTCCCGAATCCGTCGCCGGCCGCAGCGGAGGACCGCCTACCTGCCTGCCAGCCTGCCTGCCGGCTTGCCCGGTCTCCCAGCATGCATCTCGGTTGCGCAGACCTATCTTCCATATGACCTTAATCCGCACCACCCCTCGCGAAGTCACGGCACCACCGCTCCGCTTCACGCCCACATGCGACCCGGGCCGCGCCTCGAGGGTAGGCAACCCCTCTGGCGTGCCTGCTTGGCCGCTTGGCCGGCCGCTGCCGCCGCCACGCCACGCCACGCCCCCGGCAACAAGGCCCTTTGCCGCCAAACGCCTCACGCGAAGGCGTCATCCTACCCGCGACAAGGCAGAGTGAGCCGGCGAGCCGAGAGCTGTTTTGTCTGTAGGAGAAAGAGCTGCGTCACCGACTGTTCGTTGATAATAGTTCTGCTGGACGCGGCTGCACAGCGAGCGTGCTGTGAGTGCCGGGTTGAGTGGTGAGTTCTCACAGCCCCTGCGGCCGCCTGCGGCCGCTGGGGCCGGGCGACTACCGCCCCCTAACCTCTCTGACAGATATCTCCTGGTATGATTTGTCCATTAGCGTTCTGTGGCAGTGTCTGTTTTGTCTCCGTGTGGATTCACGAGTACAGAATCGTCCCTGTCGCTTAACCGATCATTCGAATGTTCCTTGGTGCTGTCGATTGGGCTTTGTAATGGAGGGCTTTCAGGGTGGATCGCGCTTTTAGAAAATTTGAAATTTATTGTTGTTGATCTTTTCTCTTGTTCTCGTGACATCCGACTGTCTCCTTTTCGTTGTCGGGCTCTCGCAATCGCAAATACATGATAGTGATGCAGGATGCGGCGTGGGATAAGCAAGACGACGCTGTCTCGGCATTACCCCGCGCGCGAAGTGTGTCCGTAAGGCTAGCGCTGAGTGTCTCTCGCGCGCGGTGTATCGACGGGCTGTCATCTTTTTTTATCTCATTTCCAGGGATCGGAGTTAGGGAGCCCAATTGCTGAAACCGTTGATTTTCGCAACTGGTGATCCATGTCGCTGGACGAGGCCCTGGCCAGGGTCCTGGTGGGCCGAATCCATCCGGCAGAAAGGGCACAGGATGAGTTTAAGAGCGTCATGCACTCGGTACGGGTTCAGAGACGATAACTTTCGTCACGTTTCTTTCTTCGTGTCCCTCGTAATTAATCACTTTTATTTTGTTTTTACAGTTCTTGTCCAAACTGCTATTCTTACTTCGCAATGATTCTTACTTTGGGTCTCTGCTCAACGTCGGCAGCCAACCCTCGAGACTGCAAGAGACGGGCAGCGACCGGTTCGAGGTCAAAATTGTTCTCAAGAATCTATGGCGCCTCGTGGGACTGCACCTAGTGGTGAGCTGAGTTCGCGTCGTGCCACAATCGAATGCCCGTTATTCTATTTTCCTATTTGGTTGTCGTTTTATTCGCAGATCCGACTAGCCGAAAAAGGCACTGTTGCCATTGAACCTAGGAGGGCGAGGGACCTCGAATCGAAAATGTCAGTAAGTTCTCACCACCGGCAGGAGGATGGGGTCCGTGTCGCTACCCCGCGCGCGGGAGAGTTTGATGGTCTCTGTGGCGTGGAGTGGCGCCGGACTCCGTCACCGCCGGCAGCACTGGCGGTAGTCATCCTGCACACTGTCACACTGTGTTTTCTTGTAGGGTTCTAGCGAGGGTGCAGCACCCTCTCTTCGAGGTCATTCGCCCGTCGGACGTGATCGTCCTGTTCGCGGCTGCGGTCTCCGCGGCCGTGCCGAAGATGAACTTCTCGCACGCAGCGATGGTACGCATTACGCCCACAGTGGCCCACCCCCCCCTTTCACCCTTCCTCAGCCCTACCTTACCTCTTCTTTGCTTCCCCAGCAGGGCGTGCCGCGTGTGGTGATGTCGAATGCAACAGTGACGCTGTTTGTTGACTTCAACGGCAAACCCATGCGAGTTGAGCTGGTGCCCGTTTTCCAATTCCCGTGGGCCTTTCTGCCGACAGAGCTCAAGGAAGAGAGCCATAATCTGAAGGTCCACCATGCGAAGGCAAGTGAAACCCTCCACAGAATGTATGCCATGTTCCTTCTCTTTTGTAAAAAATCATTTTTTACTCCCAATCTCGTGTTGCAGGTGCCTCCGGGTGAAAGTAATTGGTCCGCGGTTCCTCAAAAGGACCGAAACCAAATGACTTGGGCCATAGAATTCCATGGCTTAGAGAACGAGTTCATACAAAATAAGGGCGCTGAAGACGCTATGAGATTAATTCAGGTACGTCCGATGCCACTACCTGGGTGTGGTCTGGCCCGTAATGGTAATGGTAATGGCCTCAGCCGTGGCGATACCATCCCGCCGACAGGGCTGCATCCGGGCTGCCTACCCGCAAGGCGCTCTGGCCTCTTAAGCTAGCGCCGGCGCGCTTTGTTGCTCTAAGTGAACCCCTGTCGGTCCTTGCAGGGCATCGCCGGGCTGGACCTGCCGCGCCGCATCGTGCTGCAGGCACTCTTGTGGCTGGACGAGGAGCGAGGACCCTCCTTTTGGGACTCCGGCTTGGGCAACATCGTCCGGGAGGTGTGTACTGTTTCCATCTTTTGCTTTTTCGGCCTTCGAGTTGTCGTGTGTTCTGATCGATTCCGCTTGTCTATTTAAGGTCGTGGAGTTCCTCTATCAGGCTTTCTATCATTCCAAGCTGAGCAACTTTTGGATCCAGGGCCACGAGCTGCTGGGTATGGATACTCAGGCGGTGGCGGACCAGCTGTTGGAGGTTTTGAATGTGCTCCGTAGTCCCGGTGCTCCCGACTTCGTGGACTCGCTCTACACGTAATTTGCAGTCGTCACTAAGTTTCTTATTTATTTGTTTTAAAACAAAATTCCCTGTAACATGTCAACCTTTTCCATTGACGCGGAAATTTGACTGCCAATGACGACTGATCAATTTGATTTGCATGTGTGTGTTTTTAAAAATACAAAAGTATGTTTTTTATTTTTTTTTAAGTGGTGGATTTTTTTTTTGTAATTTTTTTCCTTTGTAAAAAGTTATAAATTTATAACAGCTAGCATAGGTGGCAAAACCGTATCGTACGAAGTGGGTTTGGTAAAGAAGCGCGTGTTCATGGTAAAAAAGATAAATCTATTTTTGGTTTGCTGATTTCCCGGCCGCTAGGATGCGCCGAACTGCTGTTGCCAAGACCGGTAGCGCTCGGCGTTGCGCGCGCCGCAGGGTTTGGTCTTGGCGAGGGCGGAGCGCACCGAGTCCGTGGTCACCACGTCGAGCTGCAGGGTGGAGTAGTCTGTGGCAAACAAAGCGCGCGAAGCACGGCCCGTCAGTCCCGGGTGGCACGCACACGCCGCAGTCTCCTCTAGTCGGAGACGCGATTGGTGCGCAATTTTGAAGGCGACGAAGAAGTTACCTGGGCGGCCTGACTCCAGGTGCGAGAAAACGCTCCGCACCGCTTGCATGGCGGCCTCCTTGCAGACCAGGCGAAGGTCGGCTCCAGAATAAGCGGTTGTTTCCTGCAGTCAGATGGCGCATGAGTTGTTGGCTCTCGAAGCCCTGGTACCTGTTGGCGAATCTGTCTGCGTACCTGCGCGAGCTGAGCGTAGTCCAGCTGGCAGTGCATTGCGGGGCCAAGGGCGGGCCGCGGCGGGCCGCGTGGGCGCGGGGCGGGGGCGGGGCTCGGCGGCAGGTAGTGCCTCAGGATCTGCTCGCGAGCGTCCTGGTCCGGCAGGTCCACGAGGATCCTCTTCTCCAGGCGGCGCAGCAGCGCCTCGTCGAGGTCCCTGTACGACGTCACACCGCCACAGTGAGGTTTGGGATCGCCTTGGGCCATCCGTTTGAAAGCTTCAAACTATTTTCACACGCACCAGGGCAGGTTGGAGGTGACGAGCAGGAAGACGTTCTCGGCGTGGCCGTTGAGGCCGTCCAGCTGGACCAGCAGCTCGGCCTGCAGGCGCCGCGACGCCTCGTGCTCGCCCGCCAGCCCGCGCCGCGACGCCAGCGCGTCCACCTCGTCCAGGAAGACGGTGGCGGGCGCGTGCAGCCGGGCCAGCTCGAACAGCACGCGCACCAGCTTCTCCGAGTCGCCGCGCCACTTGGACACGAGCGTGCTGGCGGACACGTTGAAGAAGGTGGTGCCGCACTCCGTGGCCACCGCCTTGGCCAGCAGCGTCTTGCCTGCAACAAGTAGGGCCTGGAGTGCGTTGCGTGTGGGCGCGCGGCAGCGGCGGGGAGGAGCTGGGACTGGCTACGCCATCGCTACGCCGAGGGCTACGCGCGTAGGCCGGCCGGAATCGTGCGTCGCCGCCTCGGCCGCGCCACGGCCAACCCCTAAGCCGACGGGGGTGGGGTGGGGTCGGGCCGCCCAGGCCGCCCCAGTGGAGCCGAGAGTCTTCGTATTGTCACCTTGCATGAAGACAAACGACCCCGCCGGGACCAGACTTGTCGACATGGCCAGCCGGCGACCTATTGTTTTCCCGCATTCACGAGTTGTTGCTTCTGTGCGGCTGTAAATTAAAGTAGCCGCCTCCGCCGCCAGCCGGGCTGGCCCTCCGCGTCACCGAGGCGGTCGAGGCCCGAGCCGAGGGGACGCCTGTCGAAAGGAGGCCGACGTGGTCGTGACGCGTCACACTGCCGTCACGCGGACCGCCACCGCTCCCCGACTCACCTGTGCCGGACGGCCCGTACAGCAGCAGGCCCTTCCAGGGCGCCAGGATGCCGCTGAACAGCTCAGGGTACTTGGTGGGGTAGACGACGGCCTCCCTGAGAAGCCTCTTGGCCTCCTGCAAGCCCTTTATGTCGGTCCACCTCACGTTGGGGTTGTGCATGAAAATGTCCTGCGGTTGAAGCACAGCTGTGGTCGTTAGTCCGTCCGGCTCCAGCAGCGTGGCACGTTGCGACACCGCGACCAAGTTTTACCTTTGATATAATTTCAGCGAACTGCCTCCACTCGGGGTCTTTGGACAAGCTGCCGAGTGGCCTGAGAAGGCGCTCCGGAGAAGACACTTGTGCGTCGTCGCCGCCCTCTGCCTTGCTCGCGGCTGGGCCGGCCTGGGGATAGGGAACCACGGTCAGTTCCAGGGGCTCCGCGAATGGCGGAGAGGGGCCTCCTCCTGGGCAGCCATTGGAGGCACTCTGTGAAGAGGCTGCATCCGAAGACGTTTTCCTAATGAGACCAAGCATTAAAGCACTCACTCACACACACACTCCTTGAAAGATCTGAAATTCGAAACAACTTATTTATTTTAGAAATCTTACTTGACGATTGCTTTCCTGCGTGGTTGGACTCTAGTCGGTCCATTTGCTGCGTCTGAAAGGTTCTCGCTTTTCTTGCATAGCTTTGGGTGTTTCTGGAAGCGAACGTAGTAGTAATCTTCGAACTCTTTGACTATCGTTGGTAGGTCAATGTTGTCACACACTTCGTACTGATCCCCCAGGCCCGACTCTTTGGCTGTCAGACGAGCTGATTCGAGGTACCTGAGCATTATTCGGCTATTCAAATTAGGGGACAACATTTTGTCAGTGCATATGTTATCCGTTAGCATGGAGCATAATGGCATCTTGCTCTGTGGTCGTTGCCTTTGCTTTATCAGATGGGGATGCAAAGTCTACGACCAAGTCTGCCATGATCATGATCTCTAGCTACCACGCAGCATCGCAACAGGCGAGCGGGTTGCCTATACTTGACTCTGCGGGCGCACTGTATACTAGTTCTCGTTTCATCGTGGTAAAAATTGCTTCCGCCCTTTTTAAAAATACCTCCCACCATGCGGGATGCGACACCTTTTCAAAGAAATGCCGAACGAAATTTGATGACAATTCTTAGAAAACGCAGATGGTCTTTCGTTTTTTTTTTGTTTTTTTTTTTCAACCCCACAGCTGTTACACAACAATGTCGTTGGGAAGATGCCCTACCAAATCAAAGAACTCAAGAATCCTACCCTTCATCTCGGAGGTACTGCATCACTATGCACAACAAGTGCTTCTTTCTCTCGCTGGATTTTTTCTCCTCCTGTGGATGTGAAGAAATGTACAAACATAAATTGGAGGTAATAAATTTTCATCCTGTCAGCTTAGAACTTTCTTACATGTTCGCGCACTTGGTGAGCTATCCTCACACTGTTGTAGGTGAGTTCAGAGCACATTATCCCCGCCGGTGTCCAGTATGTGCGACTGGAGCGTCCTGCGACTTGTGTACAGGCGTCGTTGCCATGGCGGTGGCAGCACTAGTTGCCATGGCAACGTGGTGCAGCAGACGCCCACACAGTACTTGGTGCCTGTTGTGGCGCATTATCTTAATATTTTTCATGTGTAGTTCAATGACTTATTAAAGAGGGAAAGTTTATGAGAAATACACGTCTTGTACAGGCAGACATTGTATTGCACCAACTAAAGTATTTATTTTGTCCAAATTCACAATTAGATTTAGAAAGAAAAAACTATTAAGCCTACGTTTTTTATTGTTAAACCAGTACAAATACAAATCTATTAGGGGTTGTGCAATCTACTTAAACTTTGTTGGCATGACAACTTGTACTTGCTATACAAAACCCCACAAATTATGTAAGTGAGGCTATAGAGCTTACTATGCACCCATGAGCCCTCATGAGTTGTCGCAATATTTTTTCCAATGACATTTTGAAAAGAGAAAATTGTCACAATTACATCAAAATTACATCTAAGTGAATTTTTAGTGTAAGTGCGATGGTAAGTATTTCCCATTGCAACTGCACTAATATTTTAGATAATGAGCAACTGGTAAACTTTTCATCAGAATTTGTGGGTATGATTAAATAACACTAACAGTAATGATCTAAGGTCACTCACCATTCATGCTATTAAAAAAAATATAATCATCCTTTCATATAAATTACAAACATTCACATACATCAACATCAGACAGCAGTCCTGCGCATAATGTAAAATGATTAACATCAAATTTAAGAAACATAATGACATAAAATGTTTAAACATGCTACATTAACAAAAAGAAAATCTTCTATTTATACAACAATGTTAGAATTTAAAGCTGGAAAAGAAAATACCAATATTTTACAAGAATTAGGTTTACCAATCTTCAATATTCCACAATGAACAAACTTAAAAAATGATCACTCTAAAAAAAGAAAACAAGAAAACAAAGAGAAACTGCTTTTTTAACAACACAAACTACACAGTAGTCAATAAAAGTCAAGTTTAGGCTCTACAGTGCTAGAAAGCTCCTGGAAAGTTACTCTCTAGAGTGCTAACGCCAACATGATAAGAAGCTCCTTAGGGAGTTGGCGTGCTGGGAGCTGCAGCACATCTGCTTGTTCCATAATTTGTACCTTAGACAAACACACATACCACAGTCTAGTAACTGCAAGAAAAGCTTCAAATGGTTTTTGTGGACTTAATTACATACAGAGCATTATAGAACCACTCAACAGAGAGGAAACAGTAACATTGAAAATAACGGTCAAAATATAGAAAACAATAGTTTAAAATGTCCCAAACCGTCCAATTCTTTCACTGTATTAGGTAGTTCACTTAATTAAGGGTCAAGATTAAGGAAGCTTCACAATAGTCTCCACAATCACTATCTAAATCACATAGCCACCGAGCACCAAGGTTTTATGGAGGCAATTATTGCACCACCTCTCAATCAACAAGAATCACAACCAACTTCTACTTAACATACAGTCAGAAGATCAGACATTAAATACAATTTATTGATTAAAAATTAAAGAATTAGAAAAAAAGAAAAAAAAAAACTCTCACTTTATCAAAACATTCCTATATCATCACATTCATATTTCACTTAATCTTGATTTTGTGCAGCTTCAGCTTGAATCCCAATATTTCTGAGAGAACCCCAGACAGGGCCGATAGTATGACGACATTGGTGATGTTGTATAAATATGGATTGGCAGACAACCCTGAGATCTTGAATGGACTCTCCAACTCCTGCAAAAGAAAGGGATGAAAAATAAACCATTTAGAAACGGTTTAGATTTAATATTTCACGAAATGTAAGAATGAGATACCTTCAGGAGGTCCGCAGCCAGTTTAAGCACACTGTTGGCAACCATAAGTTCCTCCTTTTTGTTTGGCTTTTGCTCAATTTGAAGGTACAAATTAATCTAAAAAAAAAAAGAACAGAAAGTTTAAAAATATATTTACAGTGTCTAAGCTATTCAAACAAATATGATAAAATAATAGTAAAATGTGAATGGCAATCAACACACCTGCTCAGTGATAAGAACAGACAAATTGCAATATTTTCGGTTTATATCTGTTCCTAATGTCATGAACCGTAAAAGGAACAATCCAAGTGCAAGGCACCAACATAGGGCTTCCATATTATATTGGGAATTGAGACGCACTGAATCCTGCAAGAGAAATGAGAGTGAACTTGCAAGAAGATTCAGATGGTGAAAACACATTAAATTGCAAACTTAACTATTTACAAGCAATCCTTGCAGTCATAAGATAAAGGATAAGAACATGTTGCATAAAAAAATTCATGAAATTAGAACAACTTTTTTTTGATGTTAGGTTGTTGCTTCTCTAAAGTTAGACACATAAAGACTAGTTGTGAAATGATTTTAAAACCATTATTTAAGGGAGGGAAGTTAACAAATAAATGCAAGGGAACACACATCACCCGTCAGCAGGCAGCAGGCGCAGTCAGCACACTAGAGCTGCATACTCACGAGGGCGCGCTTTCTACAAGAGCTTGATTGCTTCGATGAAGAATTATTAGACTGCATGACTGCCTGGGAATCACAATGTGCACTTGTACTGCCTAGATCACTCCAACTGACCTTAAGAAGCTCCACAATGAGGAAGGTAAGCAGAAGTAATGTAATTATGAACGCTGCTGACACAAGCATATCAACAGATCGCTGAGGTCCACGTTTCTGCAAAATTAAGATACAATAAACAATTTTTACACATAAATGTATTTTTAATATTATATTCGTATTCTGATTGATTTCAACTTTACCCTGAGATATGAGCGAACAGAGAGCCAAGTTTTAATATTCCGTACTTTATTAAGGCGGAAATGAGGAAGCTCAGATTTACGAGCACGCCTAAAGGATGTTAAATGTGAAAATAACTTGGCATATAAAAAGCGTTGCTTGAAAGATCTTTCAGCAACTGCTAAAAGAAAAAAGAATAGCTCCGCCATAGCAAATCTTTCTAAAAGAGCTATTATCATAATGGTACGTTCACTGAAAGAAAGAAATCTGAAGCTTCACAAAACCATTTCTAATTCACAAGACTAAGATATACAAAGAAAATACTGAGGTGCTACATACCACCCAGAGGTTCCAAATGCACCATTTATCAAAATTACAGACCACTCTGATATGTGTTCCAAGATGTTGCTCATCTTCCAGGATGACAAAGGCAAAGAGCTATTGCTAATGTCTGTATGTACTGAGGGAACTGATGCATCCACTGCGGATGATATCAAAAGCCGACAGAATGGAGGAACTAGAGATAAGAATAGTGCCAACACCATCCCTAAACACCAGAAAAATTTAGAAAATTTAGTTAAGTAAAAGAAAAATCAGAGTTTAATTTATTTTAATCCAGGACTCACCCAAATAAAAGTACTCCATGTTTTCTGGCTTCGCTTCAACTCGAGCAATAATAGCAGAGCTGATGTCGAGAACTGACAAATCCGCTTTCTTTACATCCCTGCTTTCCCACATTGTGCAGCTTACTTTGTCTGAGGCAGCACAGCTTGGACTCAGTATCACAGTTGGCGACTGTAGTGATAATTTGAAAAAAAAACAAAAAACAAAAAAAACAAAAACAGAATTTGAGTGATAATATAAAGTAAGAATTAAAAACATCAACTGACCTGAAAGTAAAATTGCTTGAACTTACCTGCTCAAATTCCCATGCAAATGGGTGGTCATTCAATTCCATCGGTGCAGTATGTGAGTCCGACTCATCCATATCAGAACTGTAGCTACATTCTTCAGAGTTTGTGGTCACACCCATGTAGTCAGTAGCTGAAGTAGTGCCACCCTCAGTTAGATTCTGATTGTCACAACCAGATCCACCAGTCCCAGGTGAGGACAATCTTTCATCAGCTCCGTCCTCACTTTCATCACAACAGCTACTATTATAACTGCTCTCTTCTGCTGTGACTTTAGGACACTTCAATAGCAAATTTTGTGATCCACGTCTCCTCTTCAAAAGAGTGGCACTCTACAAATAAAGAAAGCGGTTTTTTCATACATGAGCATGCCACTAAAAGAATGAGTTTTTTTTTCTTGAAAAAAAAAAAAAAAAAAACCAGAACAAAACAAAAAAAACATCAACTTTAGAAAATTTGGAGAAATATTTTACCTTGGTTGTTGCAGAAATGCCGTCACTATCAGTATCATGACTACTATGAGAAGTCCGTGGAAGTGGAGCAGACTGCCTTCTCTGCACCACATGAGTTCTGTTCATAATATTGTCAACTTCTTCAGAGGACCACCTTCCATCCGCATCCCTTGTAGAATCTTTACCTACATTGCCCTTTGTCCATTCCAAACTAGATCTTGTAGCATCATTATTGCCTGTGTCTACAGAACTACACGAGGACTTCTCTGAGCTCTTATCTTCTTTATTCACATCATTTAATCTTAAGTTAGATTGCTTGTCACTAAATGGTTCTAACAAGTCAATATTAGGTACGTTTTCATCACTAATTATGATTTCACAGCACGATTTATTAAAATTATTCTCAATAATATTTTCATCTTGTGTTTTATCTGTATTGAGTGTGCCCTTATCGGGGCACTTCAAACAGACATCGGAATATTTGTTCAAATGTTTGCTAATATCAGGTGTGTTGGGTGATTCAATCTCATCATCAACTGCTTCATCGCCATTTTCACTGGATCCGTTTCCATTCAAGCTCTCAAATCCATCGTCATCCAAAGGTGTGCCTTCACGGCCTCCTTGATTATTTCCTGGCCTGCACCAATAGAAAAACGGAAAAATCAGGTTTGTTTATCTAGAAAGAAAAACTTTTCTAAAAAAATAATGAGAGAAACTTACAGTTGCTCTCCACCATTGCCATCATCTGCAGGTTCTTTGAAGCATACTCGTGTTCTTTGAGGCTCCATAAACTTTTCTTCTGGTTCGGATGGCTTACGACGATTGCTGGTTTCTTCAGTTTTCCTGATGGAGAAAATTAACATAGATTAGAAATGGAATTTCTCAGCAATTTGTGAATATAATACATCTGATGGAGAAAAGTGGAAAAGAAGAAAAGGAGTTTCACTGACCTCCTCAAACTAACTCTTTTATTAAACTTTTCACTTGTTTCGTTTGTAGTAGGATTTTTCTCTCCTTCAGCTGGGGCAGATTTTCCGTCCGAATCTATAAAACGGTAATGCAATTTTTGTATTTTTAGTAAAATTTGAAATGAACCAAATAATATTTAATGTGAGCAAGAACATCCATGTTCCCCATGGGAAAACTGTACTCACTTAGTGGGCGGATCCTGTTTGGCACTAATATTCTGCGCTTTGTGCGTCTAATACGCCTTCTTGATCTTTCATGCAACTCTGGTGGTTGACCATTGTGAGTGCAAACAATTTGTGAATGAAGAATTGATAGTATAATCATCATAAATGTGGGGACAAGTACTTCACAAGCTGATAGATTCTGGAAAAAAAAGTGAGGTTTTTGTTTTTAAAAAGTCTTGTAACCCCAAAGATAATTCAAACTGGAATAGATAGGTGTAACTTACATCAGTTGCTTCATCTTCATGAGCTATTATATAGTGAAAATACAATCCAACATTGAAAGCTTGCATTAAATAAAGAACCAACAAATAGATGAATGCTCGTTGAGATGTTTGTTGCACCCACCACCTCCAATATAAAGGCATGAGTACAAGTCGTAGGACACCAAGGCGAGCCACTGTGATGAGGCCATGCTTGGGCTTGGCTTTTGGAAAGGAAGAACCTGGAAGATAATCAGAAAGTTAATGAATAAGAAAATGTACAGGTCTTTGGTCATATCAACTAAAGGCTTGTCCAAAACAAATGCACCAACCTCTGACTAGATCCACATCAATGAGCTGAGGCGTGAGCTTGGCAGTCTTCCTCGGTACGTGGGTGAGGCCATGCAAGATTCGTTGTTCCACAGTGCGCTCCCATGGCTGCTTGTCATAGGTTCCAATTTTTCTCTGGTACCAAATTGCCACCTCCTGCAGGCCCATGGCTCAAATTATTGTGGCCTGCGCAGAGCCGAACGTTGGGTCTACATGATCCGCCAGCTTCTGCAACAGGGAAACGCGACTAACTGATGAGACACACAATGACAGTGACAGGCGATATCCAACGACACCCGCCCACGTTTGGCCTGGGACCAACACGCCGGGCCGCCGAGCCGGCAAGCCGAGCGGGGAAGTACCAGTCTTGGCCCAGCCCGGTGTCACAACAAGGGCCTGGCAGCGCTGGCAGGGTCCGTCAGACAGACCTGGGAAGAGATGCCTTCCGCGCAAAATGGGTGCGAAAGCGGGAAACTGGTTGGCAGCGCCGCCAGCAGCCGACACGTGGTACCTCCCCACCCCCACCCCGTCCGCATCCACTATTTTCGGAGCGGCTTGGGGAGGCGGGCAGTGGCTGGCAGGGGCAGGAGGCAGGACGGGCAGTGTCTCGCGCCGCCGCAGGGAGGTTGCCAGGACGGGGTGGGGAACCCAGGGAACAGGGAACCCAGGGGCACCGCAGGGCAGCTCCACCGCCGCAGCACGCACCTGCCCGCGTGAACCCGCGTGGCGGCAAGACCGGCAAGACAGCACACCGGTCCTCTTGGCGGCAGCCCTTGGCCGCGGTCCGTGGCCAAGGTCCTTGACCACGACACGCGGCGCCACGCACGCCGGCGTCTCACGACACGCAATATGTATGCCAATTTTCACGCGGCGGTCCTGCGGGGCGCGAGCGAAGGTCGGCTCATGCCAACTAGTGCGCGGTCAATGAGTCATTTTCTTTTTTCTTTCACCCGTGGCGCGGCCGCTTGCGTAACTCCTGCGGCCGCCACGGTCGTCGCCGTCCGCCTCGCTCGTTACTCGTTAGCAAGGGCTGGACTAGATGGTCTGGGCCTCCAGGGGCGTGTCCGCGCCGTGTCCGCGCCGTGTCGAACGGACCAACGTGCGACGTCGCGGCCACTGCCGGGCTGGCGGGGCTGGCGGGGGCTGGCGGGGACTGGCGCACAGTGGGCCAGAAGACCGGTGGAGGCGGCCAAAACTCTAGACGCGTTTTGAGCTCCAGTGTGGCAAAATGGGACTCGAACCGACCATGTGACCCCACCAATGGATTGCTCTCCGAACGACGAATCCATTGGTGGGGTCACACGTTCGGTTCGAGTTCTGCAAAGCGACTCTGGAGCTCAAACCGCGTCTAGAGTTTTGGCCGCCTCCACCGGTCTTCTGGCCCACTGTGTGGCGGGGCCGGCCGGGCACTGCGCGCTGACGGACTGCGGGATTGCTGCTGCGCACCGCGCGGTGCGGACCGCGGCACCGCGGGGCGCCGATGGCGAGCGGCACGTGGGCTACGCGTCGCGTCTGTCGCCTGCCCTGCCCTGCCCCGCCACGGCTCGCGCTTTCACCGCCAAACGGACCGAGTGGCTGTCTCGTTCCCCGACGTGCCAAGCGAGGAGTGCGCCGCCGTCACCGCGTGGCCGTGCACCTACAGTCGCAGCATCCGTCTGCAACCCATGCAGGCCCCGCCGCCCCGCGCCGCCCCGCCCTCGGGGAAGGTCAGCTAAGCTGGCCAAGCTGGGCAGGTCGATAGCGCTCTGGGCGGCCCTGGCCTTCGCGACCATTCCGCGCCCTGCAAGCCCTGCAAGCTGCAAGGCCCGCATACAGTAGCCAGTGCACGGCCGCGTGCATGCGGCGCCGTGCGGCGCACTAGCCATCAGCCTCTCCGATAGCGCCGGCCTGCCCCGCGCCGGCCTCCATGTCGCCGAGCCTATCGCCCACCTGCGCGCACCGCGCCACTTCCAACAAAGCGCAATCGAACAGAGTGTCTATTTCCGGTCGGCGACGTAGGAAAAAGGGTGAGGGCGTACTACGGCACGGGAGGAAACAGGGCTCAAGCGGGGCGCCGCGGCTGGCTATCCTAAAACGGGGCGACCGGGGGCAACCCAACGCACCCCCCAAACAGGACATCTCAGGCAGTCATGTCCGGCCACACGTGACGTCTCGTCTCGGCGCGTCAGCAGCTGCAGCGGAGCAGGAAGTGGCTGATAAGGACCCGCTGCCGGGGTCGACGCGGTCGACGCGCTCCTTTGGGCGCTAGGCGTTGCTAGGCTGCGGCCAGGATGCCGTCAAGTAGGCCAGTTGTCGCAGGGCATTATTGCCGACGTCCAGTCAACAAACACGCACCACCCATCCGGAAGGGAGGACCCCGTTCCCCTCTCTCGGGGAAGTCCCACAACGACACCAATCTCGCCGCCTCGCCAGTGGCTGCACTGGCCGCCAGTGCTACCAGTGGCTCATCAAGTGCAGCGCGACCTGCGACGCGCCTGGCAGGGCGGTAGGGTGGTGGAGGGTGTCGCGTCGTCCCCCGGTGCCTATGGTGCTGGTCCTCCCCCACCGCGCCTCCAAGCGCCGCGACGACCCCAAGACACCTGTCCCCGCGCCTCGCCGCCTTGCCACCTCGCCGCACAACGCGATGATCGATACCATCGTCCAGCACGTGGCGCGACAGCAGACGAGCCCGCGGAGAGGCGGGGGCGGGGGCGGGGCGGGGCCACGCGTGCATTGGCCTGCGCAGCGGCACCGCCGGCACCGCGAGTCCGACAAAGAGTCGCAGCCCGCTTTCACGAGCGTCGCAAGGCATTGCAAGGCATCCGCCAAATTCCGCAGATACTGTACTCTTATCGGCCAGCTTGAAAGGGGCAGACGTGCCAAAGAGGCGCGCTGGAGCTTGTTTACGTACTGGCCAGGGGAAGGCCGACGGCCTGGAGGATGAGCTCGCTGGGTTTGCTCATGCAGCTTGGCCCACACACCTCAGCATGTACTTAGCTTGACCTCTATATGTAGCTCACTATATGTGGCAGCTTGCCCTCCAGAGCTAAGCCTATAAACAAAAGGTATGCCAGCCATTATTCTTGATAGCCCCCCGGGCACGCCAAATTTTGAGTGAAGGGCTGACTACACCCCGTCGGCATAAGCCCGAAAGTGAATGGTCTGCACCTGAAGATAGTACAGCCGAACGCAATTTTCTCCACTTTTCCGGGGCAGAGGGGAAGGGACGCGCGAAACTGCGCCACCCACATCGGCCATCGGCGGCCGGGAAAACCCCGGGCAGCATCAGCACCCGCCTGCACCCGCCCAGTTCAGACCGGTTGGGCGCGGTCCGCGTCCCGCAGCGTCCCGCCGTTCGATCCGGTCCGGCCCCCCAGCCCCTGCCGCCCGCTCCAGGCCGTCAGGGGATGGCTGGGACGGCGCGCAGCCGACGGGCCGCAGGATGCGGTGCGGGGCTCGGCCCAGGCTCGGCCTCGCCGCGACCTTGAGGCCCACCGACGCCCCGACGCCTCGCCCAAAGGGCCCCTCGGCCCCTCGGCCCGCCCACCCCCGCGCTAATCACTCGCACACGACGCTACGCCGAGCTACGCCCCTGGCCCCCGCCGGGTCCCCGGCCACGCCCCCGGCTACGCCCCTGGCCGCGGCGCGGGCCGGCTAAATGGCAACCCGGTAGTCGCCCCTTCCCGGGCCATCGCCCATTTGGACCAGTTTGGGAAAAGGGCCCCCGCCACACACTATAAGCCGGTGTCATTTCAAGATATTGTCGTCTCGCCGTACTCGCAGCAATGTCGACAGGGTCGGCCACTCCAGTCCTGGGAGTGCAGCGAGTGCAGGGACGGCCCGCTAGGCCCACGCTGGGCCTCTGCACATCGACACACAGGCGCGCCAACCACCTGCACTGCACGCGTAGCCGCGCGGACCACCGCCACCACAAGCCACCACACCACAAGTTGACATTGGCCGAGGACGCGGGGGCAAAGCCAGGCATAGCCTTGCCCGATTCGGCGCGCCAAATCCATCTGACTTTTGATCGGGCAGAGGACACCTGAGGGGGCGGGCCTCGCGGGGCAGCGCGACTAGCCCTACTACTGGATTCCCCCTATCCTGGACCGGAACCCCGAAAACTAATTTGTGAGAAGTGGACGCGCGGCAGGATGCAGGATAGCGCAAGAAGTATGATCGTCTTTACGGGGCAAGCGGCGACCAGACACTGTCAGGCCAGCACTCCTGGGCCCCGTCCGTGGGAGTGCGAGAGAGACAGCGCGACGAAGCACTGTTCGGAATCAGCCTGCAGAGTCCCACAGGCCACTTCGTATGCCGCGGGTGGCAGCGCGAGGAAAGCAACCAGGAAAACTGCCCACACGATTCGAAATTCAGACGAGCTGGCTGATAGATTATCTGCTACCAAAAGCCTTCCTCGTCGGCAACAAGGCACTAGTCGCGACTGCCTAGAGTCCTAAAGCGCGGCCACGGCGCGACGTCGCGGCGATGCGCGGATACGCGGCGTGTAGCGGCGTGCACCCGAAGCACTCCGGGGCGCACGTGCACAGATTCGGGGCGGGATAACGGGCTAGACGTGGGGAGTCATCCCCTCCCGCACCGTCGCTCCGGGAATTCCCTGGCAACGAAAGCGTTGGTGCCCGACCCTCCCGACGACGCTTACTTCCTCTTTCTTCCTGCTCGGCGCCGCGTCCAGTCGCAGAGCGCTGACGCAACAACGCCCTGCTGGCGGCCGTGCCGGCGAGACCCACCTCGACAACATCCTCGGGCTGCAGTCCCTGTCTCCCCGGTCTGCCCGACGCGGCGTGGCACGGTGGGTACAGTGGGCACGGCGGGCACGGCGCGCACCGCAACGCCTGGCCGTCTGGCGCTGCTGCTGGAGCTGGACCACCGAGTGGCTGGACTGGACCTAAGGCGGGACCACTCCGCCTCCGCCTAGCCGGCCTCACGGAACTTTGGACGGGCGGGGGCCGCGACGGACGGGACGGCCGCACCAGGCGGCACGACGAGCGGCACGACGAGCGGCACGAGAAGGGGCCGTGGTTGTGCCAGACGCGGTGAACGCGGACGCGGTGCGGGCGGCACGGCCAGGTCGGCCAGGGCGAGGGCGGCGTGTCCCGCTGCAGGCCAGACAGGAGCCAGCAAGGCCCGCCAGGCCGGGTCGATCCCGCCCCGCAACCAGTTTCAAAGTCAATGCTTCGTGCTTCGCTCAGACGCTCCTCAGAGCCTCGCCCGGCCCCGGCCTGCCCTGCCTACTCAGCCTGCACCGTGTCCTGCATCCGCGCCGCGGTGATCCGCCCTGCCCCAAGGGGTCCTCGCGGTCCTATAGGGACTTACAGAAAGGTGTCTCCGAACATCAGGGACTCAGGGACCCAAGAGCAGTCTTAAAGAAAGCATCCGAGTGATTGCATATGACCATTATGATACAATAAAAACGGGCATTTTCATTGAAAAGTGCCTTAGAACTCACATTTTAGAAGTTTTACTGGGACTAAGTTTTCAAATGAGGAGTACGTGTTCAAGGAGCTGCCCTTCCTGCCTATTCATCCCCAGAACAAGCAAGTACGTACAGTAATTTCCTACTGTATTTAAGGGAAACATGAACGTCCTGAGATGCACCTAATTACATACTATCCCAAATGGGGAAAAGGAGGGAGGCATAGACAGAACAAGATTCGTTTAGCTTAGAAACCACAAGGCAGCAACAAATTTCTAATTAATTAAATTGTTTGATGAGGAAAATTGCATTCAAAGAAAAAGGTGACAAAGAGAATTGAATACCAAAATGACGTGAACGGACAAAAATTGAGCAAAACAATGTATGAATGATCGATTTCTGAATTTACAAAGCAGAGTGAAGAATGAACACTACATATCAAACAGAGCAAAGCTGTACATTACTTAGGACTGGACCAAGAAATTTATTTGAAGACCAACAAGTGAAAAAAGAGATAAGTCACCATCTAGTGTATCTTGAACAGCAAGCAACAACAGTGAGAAAATCTAAATTCAGGATACATAACCCATGAGTTTAAAGTCTGACAGTGGAAAGGATTACAAATATATGCTATGATGGCAAGTGACAAGCGTTACATCAGGATAGGTCTCTTCGGACGCCACAGTGACAATGTCAGTGCAGTCAACACACACTTGACGGTACGACATAACCTTTCTTTCCCCCTTGGACACCCCTGTCACTTGGATGCAAGACCGATGAGTATCACTGTTGCTGTGCGTTCGTGGAAACCAAGACCACGGCAAACTAAAGGCTCGTTAACAAGGCCGAATCGAAAAACTAGGCGTAATTATCTTGAAATCTTACGGGGCAAACATACTACTCACCATCAGCTGCTCGGAACGCAAACACAAGTTCTCCACTGCTCCTTACGGCTGTCTGCTCTACACTGCACTGACTTCTTTATCTTTTGTTTTTTCTTGTTTATTTTTGTTTGTGTTTTATTTTACGTTGTTCTTTCTGTTCTTCTCCGTGCGTCGCAATGCTCAAAGTGGACGACAGATGGCAGCACGAAGCAGCAGACCGAAAACTGAGGGAAATCCACTTGAACCCACGCCCTCACCTGAAAGGTGTTGTTGGTTTTCAAAAAATAAACAGGAACTAAATTTTCAGCCGGCCATAAAAAAGCCTGTTTAGTTTTCATGTGAGTACCTTTGAATTTATTTTGCGCACGCTGCGCACTCTCTCGGCAGCTCTCGAAGCTAATATGAGAAATCGGTGTATGGATATTCATCTACATCTCATGAACATAGAATAGACTGTAAACAGCCCTAGTCACAAGTGTCGTCGTGGGACGATTTTGACGACAGACACCTCATAACACGCTTTTTGCAAAGTAATTTCTCCATAATTGTGTGAGTGATATGATTCCTTGTTCTGAGAAGAGCTTCGAAAATGTACAATCATTGTGAAGTGGTTGCAATGGTTGGCAAAAGCAAAGGTGGAGACAAGAGAAAATTGTAGTGTTTTTTTCTTGTCTCACATTTACCTAGACAGTACATTTCTAACTTAATCAAATGAATACAATTTTGATGTATCTTTTCTTTTCACTGGCGGTCGTTTTTGACTTCTCCTCGTTTCGAAAAATGGGTTTTGGTAAGATGTGTGGCTTCACTCTGAACGGCAGTCTTGAAGAAGTGTATTGCTGCTTGTTTTGCAGCTGACTTCAAAACATGTTTATTCTTAAGTTAACTGAAAAATTAAAAAGCAGTCATTCAGATTTTAACTTTGCAGTTTCGTAAGGAAATATGATTTCTGTACAGAAAACCATCCAACCAAGATTTTTAGTTTTTTTCCTGTATACCTGACTATGAAACAATAAATGTCCTTTCTTGGTTTAATATTTTGCAGGAGTGAGTTTAATTTACCATGGCCCAAACTACCCCGTTGGTTCTACGCCTTGCAGCACTTTCTGTGAATGCAGCAAATAGAGCAGGTAAAATTATTCGGGACGTGTGGAGCCAAGGAGACCTGGGAATCGTCGACAAGGTATAATTGCTTGTATCGTTTTATCATATTTTCAATAATACAGGAAAAAGAAACAACCAATGATTGTATGCTAAATAAATTTGCATCATTCTACAGGGTCAAAATGATCCTCAAACAGAGGCTGATCGTTCTTCCCAGCGCTGCATCATTGCATCTCTTTTGAACCAGTTCCCCAATGTCAAAATCATAGGTGAGGAGGGCTCATGTAATGTTGAAGTGCCCTCTGACTGGCTTGTCACTGAAGGAGACCAATCTATATTGCAACTCAACTGCCCCAAAGAGTATCAATCTGCAACTGATAATGATGTAAGACCCGTTTCAACTAGCACAAAGACCACAGGGTGTAAAGTTTAGTAACCTTTTATGATTTTCTGATTTTTTATTCAGGTGGTTGTGTGGGTTGATCCATTAGATGGTACATCTGAATATACACAAGGCAAGAAATGTGATGGCTGTTTACTGTACTTTCAACTTTACTTGACCACTAATTCTTATGTTTGCTGGATTTTTATCTGCAGGATTATTAGAGCATGTCACTGTGCTTGTTGGCATAGCTGTTAGGGGGACAGCTGTTGGAGGAATCATTCATCAACCATATTATGGCCATGCATCTGGAGCTGAAACTCTTGGGCGCACCCTGTGGGGTATCAAAGGCATTGGTGTTGGTGGGTTTACACCTGCCCTTCCTCCTGCAAATCAAAGGATCATTGCTACAACTAGATCACATTCTAATCCATTAGCTGAGCAAGCTATTGCAGCTCTCAAGGCTGACAAAGTCTTGGCTGTTGGAGGGGCTGGCCACAAGGTATATTGGCATAATAGTCACTTGGTCTGGAACATATAGTATTAACCAATATTTCCTTGAATAATTTTGGTTTGTTTCTAGGTAATACTCTTGATGGAAGGTAAAGCACATGCATACGTTTTTGCTCGAGGTGGGACAAAAAGATGGGATACATGTGCTCCAGAAGTTGTTTTGGAGGCAATGGGAGGCCGTCTGACTGATATGCGAGGAGTACAGTATTTATATGACCATGATACAAACCACAACAACACCGGTGGAGTTCTTGCCACAGCCAAAGGAGAGGACCATGAATGGTATATTAAAAATATCCCTGAAAATGTTCGTGAGGCTTTGAAACAGTGATATAAATTTTTATTTTAACTGGAGTGGAATCCTCTCAGCGTACCCAATATTGCAAACCCTTCCATTTTGGGATCACATTTATTCTTCCAGTAGAGGCATAAGGAGACTTAAAATTTAATTCCTGGGTGATTGGCATTATATGCCATGGTTAGTACCTAATGTCTTGTACTATGTGCATAACTTTCTGAGGTCGGGCTTTGCCGTCAGCTTTGTAGATCTTTTTTTCTTCAAAATTCACTCAATGAAAAAAATTAGTCAAAACTGTAAGTTCTTCCAATAGTACTACATATACAGTATCTTGCATTGTCACATTCCATTCTGAAGTTGGTCCATCTGTTGAACAGAAGTTGTACCTGATGTTGTTTTTTCTGTTTTTACAAGTGTTACAAGTTACTAGCTCATAATTTCATCCTGCACTTTTTCCTTGTTGGGTGTTTAGACACAATAAATAAATAAATACTATTATTTTTTAAAAGAATTCTTGTTTGTTTAAATGAGCCCATTGGAGATTTGGTGACGTAACTTTCTGTAGCATGTTGCGGGGAAGAGTATGAAAATACTAAGTACGTATGTCAATCCATAAGGGGAAAAGTAAAGTGTAACAGACACAAAATTATTTTTATTATGGTAAAGAAAAATCCCAATACAAAAGCATATATAGTAAAATAGATGATAACTTGATTGCAGTAATGAAGCTGCAATATCCTAAGATATGAACAAAGGTTTAAAGGTTGTAAAATAAAAATTCAGGTACACCATCATGCATGACATGGTTAAAAATAGTCTGGATTTCTAAAGCTTTGATCGTAAAATACGCCTTAATAGTTTTCCACTCGGGTTGCGTGGAATCTCTGAAACAAAGCGAACTCCTCCTCTAAGCTTCTTTTGAGCAGAGACACGTTCTGTAAGTAGAACAATCACATAATAAAATATATTCATATTTCAAAAAAGACATGTACTGTTGCTAAAGCATTATACATACCATTTACATAGTCCACAATTTCCTTTTCACTAGCTTTGGCATTGGCTTGCAGCACAACAAAGGCCACAGGTACCTCACCACTCATTGTGTCCGGTTTCCCAACAACACACGCATCTCGAACTGCCTTGTTAGTGTACAAAATGGCTTCCAACTCAGCAGGGGCAACCTGTGACAAAAATTATTTACACAAACACTAGAAATTTTTTAAAAGTTGATTTTTTAACATTTTCTTAATTATTACCTGGAACCCCTTGTATTTTATCAACTCTTTGATTCTATCAACAACAAACAAATCGCCATCATCATCAAAGTACCCAATGTCACCAGTGTGTAGCCAACCATCCTGGTCTATGGTTGATTTTGTGGCCTCAATGTTGTTACGATAACCCTTCATTACCATATTGCCTTTGAAACATATTTCTCCTTCCTTATTTCGGGGGAGTGAATTTCCTGTCTCAACATCAACAATCTGGGACAAAAATTTGAAATATATTCATAAATTCCTAGTTAATATTTTTCCAACACAAAATTTTAACCAAGAGTTATTAATTTCTACCTTGGCTGACATTCCTGTGACAACTCTTCCTGATGAACCCATCTTCACTGGTACACCATCAGTGTAAGATGTTGCTAAAATACTTGTTTCCGTCATACCATATCCCTGACGAATATCTTTCACACCCAATCGTTGAGAAACTGCAAGTTGGGTGTCTTTATCCAATGGGGCAGCGCCACATATAATTGTTTTCACAGAGCTTAAGTTGTACTTGTCCACAATTGGGTGTTTCCCAAGAAACACCATGAGAGGTGGCACAACAAACAATGTTGAAATCTGCAGCATGTAGATAGTAACTTATTATTATTGACAACTAGAAAAATAAATGGCTAGCACAGGTAAACTTTGTCTCAATATTGATAGATTTACGTACCTTGTAGTCTTGAACTGCCCGCAAGAAAAGTTCTTCTTCAAAACGTGGGAAGACAATGACAGTCCCGCCCCGCATAATTGCTACTGTCAAAAGACCAAATCCATATCCATGATAAAATGGCATCAGACCAAGAATACATTCAGTATCAGGCAAGCCTCCGGAACTAAATAAAATTAGAAGAATATTAATTGAAAACTGCACTCTGGAACTAATTTTTTTTTTCTGATTTTGCAAATTTGAATTACACTGACTTAGTCACAAACACGAACTGAAGAAAATTTCTGCTGGTAAGTTCTACACCTTTTGGTAATCCTGTAGTACCACTAGAGCAAAGAATAAGACAGGGGTCTCTCTCTGGATTTACACGAGCTGGTATAAAAAGTTGGTTATTGGCCATGCGTTGTGAGATGAAGTCGGATAATAGCCTCACAGTACATGGAAGGGGGCCAGGTGTTTGACGTCCAATTAGTACAATGTCCCGCACACTATCAATCTTTTCTACAGCACCAACCACTCTACTGATGGTGAGAGCACTGGCAAAAACAATGCGGGGCTTGGAAATACTCATTGCATGAACCAACTCTCCTGTGGAAAGAAAAGTTTATTGCACATTTAAGTCAGAATTAATACCTCATAGAAATAAAATTATGTTTTTTAGAACCTTCAGTGTAAGCTGGATTTAGAGGAGCACATGTTGCACCAATGTACAGAGTTGCAAGTACTGGAAGGCAATAATCGAGATTGTTCTCACTAGAAATACAAACAATATCGCCTGATCGTATTCCCAGTTCTCGCATGTATTCAGCAATGTTAATACTTTTGGCCAAAATTTGTGGATATGTCAACGTTTCTCCAGTTACAATGTCCACCTGTAATGGAGAATCAGGGACTTTGTAACAAAATTAATAATTGATGTACTGAAATATATTTTTAGAAAAGTAAAATCATCATACCTGAGCAACAGAATTTCCTTTTGACTGCAGTTTACTGAGCAAGAATTCTCCAAGAGAAATGTTGGGAATCGGATCCAGAGCTCGCCCATGAATAACGTTCGGATCAGCCATTTTGATATGCTGTAACTAATAAATTTAATTGGAACAACACTGAAGTTGGCTCAAAATTACAAATCATTCATTCATTATCTTCATAAATTTTTCTTAGTGAACAGAGAAATGCTTGCCTTACCGCGCGTCAACAGGTAGGTGTGTCCGCAAGCAGAGCAGCCGAAGCCGTATCTAGCAGCTGATCCGCGGGTGCTTTAGATCAACAGACGACAACAGAAGACACTTCGCGGAAACTGACGGACTCCTACTGTATTTTACGATGACTTTACACAAAGCTAAGCGGGGTAGAAGCTGAGATACAGTGGTGGAACTGCGTTGCGTCGCGGATGACTAGAGAAGAGATCAAAGTCAAAAAAATGTATGGTACGATGTGTGAGAGAGAAGTTGTTCGGACCAGAGAGAAAAGTGGAGGGGGGAGGACGACAGGGCAGAGGGAGAGCGGGAGGGTGGTGGAAGACAAACAAGAGTTGAGGAAGAGAAGGGGAGAGGGAGAAGGAGAGGGAGAGAAACGGCGGTCTCCGGTCTCACCTTTGACTTCGTGGTGTAACACCTTGGGCCTTGGGTTCCCAGGTGATAACCAGCTACGACCCTGAACTTGTGAATAAATTGAAGAAAACATGCTGCCAATAATTTGGTTCAAGAGGTTTATTTTTTCCTTTCTCCTACCCTCTTCCTCCTCCCTCTCCCCTTGCCCTAAAAGGGCGCGCGTCCGAGCGCCCGCGGAACTAAGGTCCGAACAAGATCGCCAAAGTGCACTAAAATATTTTTGGAAAGGGGATGGTTCAAGGAATCCAACTATCGACCAACTTTTTTGGTTTTGAGCATTTACGTTCGAATTTAATTCGAACGTGAATGCTCAAAACCAAAAGGTGGGTTGATAGTTGGATTCCCTAAACCACCCCCTTTCCAAAAAAACCTCATGGGCCGCATGAATATGATTTTTATTCTCTTTCGACCTTGTGGCTCGCCCAATATAATCGATTTAGATGCAAAGGGATTCTAGGGATAGGATTTTGAACCAATAAAATGGCTAACCTTGAAATGTTTTAAATGTGTATTGGATCTAAATTAGGTTCATAAAAAACAAGTAGCCAACAATACAACAGTGGTAGTATAAAAAGGTGTCTCGTTCTTTACCACATAACTGTGCGGAGAGATGTTCTGATCAGTTTTCACAAAACTGAAACCATTGTGTATATGTTTTGAGAATAATTTAGTTGTGAAAGACTGATTATGCAAGAAAAAATGAATGAGTGGCATAACATTCTCGGTGTTTGAACTTGGATTTATAGAATCAGGAGCAAAGAGTTCCTTCTTACCTTCATCATCATTATATAAGCAAAATGGGTAAAGAACAAGTAAAAACAAAATACCAAATTTTTCACTAGAAAGTTGCAACTTACTACATAAGTTCATAGCGATGAGCCATGATAGAATTCAAATGGCAATTAAAAGTAATAAACATAAAAAGGTAAGTAAAAAAAAGGAAAAAAAAAACACTTAAAAAGTACAAATGAAGGACATAAACTCACAGTCTACAATCTGGTTGTATTGGCCCAATACCAGATAAGAGTGATTTGTGAACAGAACAGGTGAAATGAAACCCCAGGCCAGCTCGAACAATAGACAAATCCACAAGTAGACACTAAAGTAGGTAAAACTCATGTACAAGGCATAGTGTTATATCCATGAAAAAAAAAATCTAGGCCCGTATCAAAATAGTAATACTTTACAACTCACATGGCTTGAGGACATCAAGCAGGTACTTTTAACTTACATAACTTTATACCAAACTTAATAAAACAGTCTTTCTTTAAGAATATTACAAAAGATAAAAATTTGTGTCGTTCTTCAATTTAGTAAGTAAAGAGACGCAAAATAAGAGAAATGTATGATACAATAAATTATTCACATATTAAAACCCAAGAGGATTGGCTTGAACAAGGGAGCCATTCTGACAAAC